TGTTGTTGTTGTTGTTATGTGCTGTTGAGTCCGACCCGACTCATAGCCACCCCTCCTTGGGTTTCCGAGGTGGTACCACTACAGAAGTAGATTGCCCCATCTTCCTTCCAAGGAGTGGCTGGTGGATTTGAACTGCCAGCCTTCTGGTTAGCAGTCAGGTACCTTAGGCACTACGCTACCAGAGCGCCTATATATGTATATATGTACATAAATTTTTATATACATAAATTATACTATTATACATATATAATAGTATAATTTCACAGAATGTACAAGAGAAAAGATGATTAAGAGAGAGGGAGGTGTAAATGTTGGGTATTAGGGTGGTAAGTTTTGGCCTTTCTACTGAGATGACATTTGCATATATATCTAACATCTAACGGTGGTGAGAGAATCTCACCAAACTGTAAGATAAAAGTATCCCATGGGAAGAGAAGAGCATGAACAAAGGCTCTGAGGCAGGTATGATCTTGCATTATGAGAACATCATAGAGAGGCCAATCAATCCACAGCACAGGAATTAGAGGAAGTGTGGTGGAAGAAAGTGGCAGAGTTAGACAGGGGCCACACCACATAGTGTCTTTTAACCAGTTGAAAAGGATTTGGGTTTTATTTGCAAATAGAAAACTTCAGAAGTTTTGAAGCAGAGGAAAAATAGGTAAGAGTGGTTTGAAAACAGTCAGTTGAAGACTGCTTAAATATTTCAATTGGAAATAATAGTTTTTAAACTAGTGTTGTAGCAACAAAGAAAAGGAGAAGTGGTTAAATTTGTGGTCTATTTTGGAGGTAGAGTCAGCAGAAACTAACAAGTGGATTGGGTGTGGGATTTGAAAGAGAAGGAGCGATAGAAGGTAAACTCTTAAGTTTTGCTTGGCAGCTGTGTGAATGGTGATGCCATTTACTGAGATGGAAAAAAAAATAAAAACCTGTGCTATTCAGAGGGAACAGATTTATGGGAGTGGATAAATGTCAAGAGTTTTTGTTTTATATTTAAGTTTGCAACATCATTTACATTCTACGGTAAAGACTGAGGATGCAGGTGAATTTTCAAGTAAGGAGTTCACAGAGAGAGAAAAGCTGGAACTGCATCTTGGAATTCATCAGCACATAGATCTTTTTAAGGTAATGAGTCTGGAAGAGGAGATGGTGGTGGTAGACAGTAAAGTAAGGGTCAGTTTATAGCAATTCACCTTTTGGAAGTCTGATAGAAGAGGACAAGCCAACAAAGACAGACAAGTGAATTAGGAATTGTTATTGTTGTGCATTTGAGAGTCATTTTTGACTCATAGTGACCCATGTGACAGAGTAGAACTGCCCCATAAGCTTTTCTTGGCTATAATCTTTATGGAAACAGATCACCAGGTCTTTCTTCCACAGAGTTTGCTGGATGGGTTTGGATGCCAATCTTTCAGTTAGCAGCCAAGTGCTGAATTGTTTGTGCCATGAGGGCGCTTTGATTTCAGAATAAAAGCTGGAAATTCAGCACTGCAGAACCTAGGGAACCGTTTTCAAGAAAGCAGGTGTATTCAATCATGCTAAGTGCTGAGAAAGCAAAAAATGACCTATGGTAGCCTTGATAATAATTATTTTATCAAAGTGGTGAGGATTAAAGCCAGAATGGGTTGCAAATAGGAAATAAATAAAAGGTAAAAAAATGGAAAGAGTGAAAGTAGACAATGCCTATAAGTAATTGTGCACAGAAGTGAAGGAGGGAAATGGAAAAATAACTGGAAGGGATATAAGATCAAGAAAAGGTCTTTTAAAAGTGGTTGAAAATAAGGCATGTATTCTATTGGGGATAATGGAATAGGGAGTGAGGGAGAAGTTGATGATGCAGGAGATAAAAAGCAAAAAACTAAAACTATTGCTATTGAGTCAATTCTGACCCCATAAGACAGAATAGAACTGGCCCTTGGGCTTCCAAGACTGTATATCTTTATGCTAGCAGATTGCATCATCTCTTTTTCTTCAGAGCATTTGGTGTGTTCAAACCACCGACTTTTGGTTAGCAGCTGAATGCTGTAACCACTGATCCACCAGAGCTCCTTGATGCAGTAGATAGGGTTGGATAAATGTGAAGGTGAATTCCTTATGACTGAAAGGGAAGGAATTCAGAATATACATGACCGTCTTGGTCTTAGGTAGGAGCAAGGGTACAGCTTTCATTGTAGTTAAAAAAAAAGCTAAGGAAGTAGGTAAAGATGTGGGAAAATTGATGGATTTGGTGATTTAATAGATTAATTCATATGCAACAATATTTGAAGGAACTGAAGATTTCTTTGCCTAAGAACTGGACGATATTGGTAGCTATTTTTAAATGTTTAAAGATAACCATTTATCAATAAACATTTATGAAGTTTTAATCTGTACAAGACACATTGCTATATACTGAGAATACAGAGATGAAAGAGTGTGTCGTAATTGTTTGCTTTAGAGTGGGGAGATAGAAACTCCTTTAAAGATACAACAAAACAATTGTTTATATAGGGGCATTTACATGAAACAAGAGGAACATAAAAAAGATATATTGAAGTCCTAGAATAATACTTGGGCTTTTATGACTAACAGAACTAGACTTTTACTATATGATCTCAATGGGTGAATATACACCAATAAATAGAAAGCACACATAGTATGATGCACAGAAATATCAAAAAATGCCTTAGAATATAGTAAATTCTCTGACAGTGTCAGTGAGTAGTAATAATAGAATAGGGATATTGATAATGGAGTTAAAATATCTGAAAAATGATTTGTCTAAGTTAGATGAACATTAGGCCCTCTTCAAGATTTTAGATTCTGTTTTTTATGTGACTCTATCATGTTAGATGGGAGCTCTGGTAGCGTAGTGTCTAAGGCATTTGACTGCTAACCAGAAGGCTGGTGGTTCAAACCCACCAGCCACTCCTCAGAAGGAAGATAGGGCTGTATACTTCCGTAGAGATACTGCCTCGGAAACCTAAGGAGGGGTCGCTATGAGTCAGGTCCCACTCGACGGCACATAACAACAACAACAGCATTAAGAGTTTCCCAAGAATGAGAGAATAGCCAAGAGATCTGTAGGACTGAAAGTCAATATATACTATTGTTTAATGAGTTATTTTTATTGTTTCTTGTAGATTTGATACCTCCTCTGGAAATCAATAGTAAATTGAAGCTTTGCCCTCCTCATCATTTCCAAAAACTGAAGATGGAAATGGCACATATGGTGAGATGCTTTAGCAGAGGAAGTCCTAAGATTGTCCACTCAGATGAGATATTGGACACTTACTAGAAAATCTTAGTTCTTGCCACAAATGCTTTTAGATCAGGCCAAAGATCATAGGATGTTACCTAATAGTTTTTTCACACTGGAACACACTCTAAACTCTACACCACCCAAGCCAAGTTCATACTCAGACCGAGTCTGTCTTCAGTCTCGGGTCTCATCTCTTTACTTATGGGAATATATTTTTATTCTCATAGCTTTCCAGCAGACCACCCCAAAATTATAAGCACTTTTGTTGTTGGTGGTGGTGGTGGTATAGGGAGTCCCTGGGTAGTGCAAATGATTAGAACACTCATCTGTTAACAGAGAAGTTGGAGGTTCAAGTCTATCCAGAGGTGCCTTGAAAGAAAGGTCAGGTGATCTACTTCCAAAAACATCAGTGGCTGGAAATCCTGTGGAGCACAATTCTACTCTGACAACATGGAGTTGCCATTAGTTAGAGTCACTTCAAAAGCAACTAGAGGTTTTGGTTTTCTGTGGACTTAGAAGGCAAAAGAGAGGAAGCAACTTGCTCTGTGTCTGTTATTTGCAGATATATCCAGTGATAGAGAAGCAATGCCGGACACGCCTGGCCCTCATCATCTGTAACAAAGAATTTTACCATCTTTCTACTCGACATGGGGCAGAAATTGACATTTGGGGAATGCAAGACCTGCTGGAAAAACTTGGATACACTGTCATTGTAAAACAGAATCTTACAGCTCAGGTAATGAGAGCAGGACAAGCCTCCTTCCTTCCTATACAGTTTTGAACCTCTTCCTCCGACATCTGCAAGAACAAAACGTATGCTGTTAGAGATATTATGTCAGCTCCAAAGTGGAGTGTTGTCAGCCTCCTGAAAATTTCAACTTCCTCAAAAGCATAGTATCATAGAGATTTGGAGTAATCTATACAACAGTGTTTCCCTAAACATCTAAAAAATGTCGGTTGGGTCCTTCTGAAGCTCTCAGTCTGGAAGGCATCTTTTAATTAATGATCTGAGTCAGACACAAGGTCTGGGACCTGAGACTGCCAGGTACCTGAATAATAAGCTCGTGAGGTTCTTATAATATCAATATCTTGTGTATAAATGTAAATTAAAGAGCATGATAGCCAAAATTTTCACACATGCAAACAGAAACACACATATGAAGAAAAAGTTGTGCTTTTGGATCTGCCAAAAATATCATTGGTGACTTTGAAAAACAATGTGAACCTTACTTTATGAAGTTTCATGATAAAGAAATTTAAATAGTATTTCTAGTTTTTTTTTGTCAATCAATTTCTCTCTTTCTTGTTCTCTGTTTCCCTCTCTTGCTCTTTGTCATAAGGGAAACTTACAGGAACCCCAACATGTAAAACAGGTGAAAGTAAAGCTGTCCTAGACTTGTCATCCCACTCCCCCTCAACATTATACTGCATTTCCCAGAATCTTCTGAAACCTAAGATTCTGATGAAAACCATTAGACTAAATGCTATGTAAAATCCCTTCTAGTTTTAATATTCTAAAACTCTAAATTTTCAGTTTTTATGTCAGAATATTATTTCTCTCACAACTGTACTCAATTCAAATCACGTGATTTCTTAGTGTTTGCTCCTCTCTGTGGAAGCCATATACAAATTGAGTATAAACTTTATATGAAGAGTTCCTTGATAGTGACTTTGGAGTCTCTTTCAGGAAATGGAAACAGAACTAAGGCACTTTGTTGCCCGCCCAGAGCACAAGTCCTCAGACAGCACATTTCTGGTATTTATGTCACATGGCATCCTGGATGGAATCTGTGGGAAAAAGCACACTTCACGACAGCCGGATATTCTGAAAGATAATACTATCTTTCAAATTTTCAACAACAGAAACTGCCAGAACCTGAAAGACAAACCCAAAATCATCATCATGCAGGCCTGTCGAGGTGGTAAGGCTGAGTTGGGGGACCCCAAAGATTGAAGGAGTGGTCATGGACTTTTATTTTAGCCTGATGTTTGGCCTTCATTTCATCAGGGACAGGTGAGACAACCAATCTTTTAGTTCTACTACAGCAAAATCTGTGAGAGCCAGAACACGACTGGAATGTCTTTTTTTTTTTTCTAGGTTTTACATGTTTTCTGCCTTTGACAGGGTGCAGTCTTAAAACTTCTATTGCTCACTTAGTGGAAAATATTTGAGTTTTCATTCTCTGCCAAGTTTTTGTTTTACCTAGGTTCCAGCCTTCCCAGTTTTTACTGTGATAGATCCAGTCCAGAAAGAAACTATATTTAATCTCAACCATTTTAAAGAAACAATAAACTACTCAAAATATGAGCAGTGCCCCAGTCGTTAGGGGCTAAGTTGTCAACATGGCTATTCCAAACTTAAGTGAACTGTTCCCAGTCACTGAGCTAGTATTTTGAGCAGTACCAGTTGCCCTTGGGTTGATTCCCATGTATATCAGAGTAGAACTATACTCCATGGTATTTTTAATGGCTAATTTATCAAAAGTAGTTCATCAGGTTTCTTCTGAGGCACCTACGGGTAAATTTGAACCTCCAACCTCTTGGTTAGCAACGGAGTAAGTTAACTGTGTGCACCACCCAGGGACTTCTTTGTATTGTTAATAAATGTCATGTTGATATGTACTGAAGTTAAGGTATAACGGTAAAAGACATTGTGTGTGTGTGTGTGTAAATATAAAATCTTTCATAAGAAATGTAAGACTTGGTTGGTGGATGCATATCTCTTCCAGAAGGTACTGGGATAGTTTGGATGACTGACGCAGGAGAACCATCTGCATGTAGTTTCCAGCCCTCACGATGTAACGCCCAGTGTGATGCAGTTAGAAAGGTCCACGTGGAGAAGGACTTCGTTGCTTTCAAGGCATCAACCCCACGTAAGTGATTTCAGGGAGGGGGATTTCTAACTCTATTATTTTCAGATAGCAGGTTTGGCTATGATGAGATCTTGTCACTGATCAGAAAATTTCTTCTCTAATTAATAAGATATATTATACAGAGGAGAGATTTAAAGTCTTGAGAACTTGATAGTTTGAATGCTATAAATCTTGATTTTTGGAGAAATTTTCAAAGTAAATAGGACTTTGGTGAAGACCCAAGCTTAAAACAGTCTAACTATAAATGAGGGATATCATTGCTGATGTCAGATGGATATTGGCTGAAAGCAAAGAATATCAGAAAGATGTGTACTTGTGTTTTATTGACTATGCAAGAGCATTTGATTGTGTGGATCATAACAAATTATGGATAACATTGAGAAGAACAAGTATTCCAGAACACTAAATTGTGCCCATGAGGAATCTGTACATAAACCAGGAGCTGTTGTTCCAACAGAAAAATGTGATACTGCATGGTTTAAAATCAGGAAGGGATGTGTCGGGGTTGTATCCTTTCACTAATTTTATCCAGTCTGCATTGTTGTTGTTGTTTGCCGTCGAGTCGACTAATCTGTATGCTGAGCAAATACTCTGAGAAGCTGAACTATATGAAGAGGAGCATGGTATCAGAATTGGAGGAAGACTCATTAGCAACCTGTGATATGCAGATGAGACAACCTTGCTTGCTAAAAGTGAAAATGACTTGAAGCACTTACTGATGAAGATTAAAGATTACAGTCTGCTATATGTATTAAACCTCAACATAAAGAAAACAAAAATCCTTTTAACTGGACTAATAAGCAGCAGCATGATAAATGGAAAAAGATTGTAATTGTCAAGGATTTCATATTACTTGGATCCACAATCAACACAAATGGAAGCAGTAGTCAAGAAATCAGATGACATATTGCCCTGACAAATCTCCTGCAAAAGACCTCTTTAAAGTGTTGAAGAGCCAAGAAATCTCTTTGAAGACTAAGGTGAGCTTAATCCAAGCTATGGTATTTTCAATCACCTCATATACAGGTGAAAGTTAGACAATAAATAAGGAAGACCAAAGAAGAGTTGGTGCTTTTGAGCTGTAGTGTTGAAGAATCCTGAAATTACTATAGACCACCAAAAGAACTAACAAATCTATCCTGGAAGAAGTACAGATGGAATGTTACTTGGGAACGAGAATGGCCAGACTTCGTCTCACGTACTCTGGTCTTGTTGTCAGAAGGAACTGTTCCCTGGAGAAAGATACCATGATTGGTAAAGTGGAGGGTCAGCAAAAAAGGGGAAGACCATCAATGAGATGGATTGGCACAGTGGCTGCAACAATGGGTTTAGCTATAGCAAGGATTGTGAGGATGGTGCATAACTGGGTGGTTGCTACTAGTTGGAGCTGGGTCAATGGCACCTAACAACAACAACTATAAGGGATTCTTTTCTTTTCTTTTTTGTAATATAGCAACAGCACAAAAATGAATCATCACCTCATGATTTTACCCAAAAAATACCCATCATATGATCTACTAGTAATTAAATGAGCCAAACATTGAAACTGGTAGTACTTGCTTCACACTTTCAGGTTTATAACTTGAATCTAGGCTTAGGAAATTAGTTAACAATTAAATCCATGGCTTCAAGATAAGGCAGTTAATGAATGAAAATCCTTCTTTGGAAGGAAAGTTGTTTTGGTTAAAACGTGCATTTAATCTCATTAATTTATGATATTGCTTTAATAATGACAGATAGCAAGGGTAATTTTAGACAACCTAGTTAACATAGTTCACAGTCCTCAGTATTCTAGTGTAATGTATGGAAACTTTAATGTGCATAGGAATCACTTGGGGATCATGGTTAACATGGAAATTCTAATTCAGTTGGTTGGGGTGAGGCTTGATATTCAATCTTTCTAAAAAAAAATTCTAGAGGATGCCCGTACTGCTGGTCCCTGGCCATATTTGAGTAGCAAGGGACTAGAGGACCCTCAGAGTCTAGCCTAAAAAATAAGGAAAAGACCCTGCAAACAATTCAGGCCCCACTGCCCTCCAAAAAAACACCCACCCAACAACTAATTTAGTAGCATTTCTGTTTGTTTTATATATTGATATTTTTATGATATTTTTGGAAAGAGGAATTCTATACTTTTAGCTGTTAAGGAAGTTAAAATACCATGAAAACCCTAATATATACTATGCAAGATTATTTAATTTAGTTAATAAAATAACAATATCCAAAATTATTACATTTATTTATTGCATATAATAGTTCAGTGTTCATTATTTTCCAGGCTTGGGCCAGGTTCAAACTATATCTTGCACAATGAAAGTAAATGTGCTGACTGGGCATGATGGAGTTGATAGCTATGTCAGGATGGGAGAAATTAATTGGGGAGAGGAAGGGAACACCGTGGTATCACTGACATAAATGATGTTTGCCAACTGTGATAAGGACTTTAAAGAAAAATTTTTGGTGACATTAGAGAAAATAAAGGAACTAAAAATTCAAAGGTAAGAGAGGAATGTTCCAGACAAAAAGATCAAGGTGAATGAAGGACTAGAAAAAGAAAGGAGGTTGGAAGAGAGGGTACGTGTGGTTAGAACACAAAGTCAGGGAGTGTGTCATGAGGTCTTATATGTTAGGGAAGGATTGACCCTTTATACCAATAGTAATAGAAAATATTGGTGGAATATAAGCAATAAAAGGATAATGTTTTAATTTTAAAATGATCACTCTGGAGGCCCTGTGGAGAATTGATCAGAGTAAAGCAAGAGTGGAGATAGGTTTAAATGATACTGCAGTATTTCAGGCCATATGAGATGATGATATATTTGGAATGGTGTAAGTTGTTTGATCCAAAAAATAATTAGTATATAAATTTGGTGTAGGAGCTCTGGTAGCATAGTGCCTAAGGCACTTAACTACTAACTAGAAAGAAGGATGGTGGTTCAAACCCACCAGCCACTCCCCAGAAGGAAGGTTGGGCAATCTACTTCCGTAGCGATACCGTCTCGGAAACCCAGGGAGAGGGGTCGCTATGAGTCGGGTCCAACTCAACGGCAAATAGCAACAACAACAAACAAATTTGATGTAACGTAGTGGTTTAGTGGGCATGTAAGAGAAACAAGAAGAGATGATAGAGATGACTCAAGTATGCAAGTAGATGATTGTGTTGCATTTATTAAAATGGGAAACACTGTAAGACAGTCTAAGATGCCTTTGGGATATTTCAAGATAGGACAAAGAATAGAGAATTGTGGTTATATATTTCAGAAAGGAGATGTGCATTAGAATAGAATGATGGAAGACATTGGCCTAAAGATTATCTTTAATATCTAAAAATGAATGAAATTGTCTAGGAACAAAGACAAGAATGAGATTTCCTAGATTTGAGGTTTGAAGAGCACTAATATTCAAATATGATATTCCAACACTCGTCTGTTAGTTTGTCATACTCCAGTGACTTGCATATTGCTGTGAGGCTGGAGGCTATGCCACCAGTATTTCAAATACCAGTAGCATCACTTATGATGGACAGGTTTCAGCAGAGCTTCCAGACTAATACTGGGAAGAAGGAAGGGGACATCTACTTCTCAAAAAAACAAAAACAAAGACAAACAAAATGACCAGTGAATACCTTATGAATAGCAGTGAAACACTGTCTGTTTTACTGCAAGAAAACATCACGAATATCACTGAGACATTTTCTGATATAGAGCCAGAAGATGAGACCCTTGGGAATACCAACTGAAATATTTCAGAAAATGGATGCAGTGACGTCAGTGTTTACTAATCTAATCCAAGAAATCTGGAGGACAGCTACCTGGCCAACTGGCTGAAAGAGACCAATATTTGTACCCACTCCAAAGAAAGATGATCCAACATAATGTGGAAATTATCAAACAATATCATTAATATCACACAAAAGTAACATTTTGCTAAAGATAATTTGAAAATTTTTGCAGCAGTATATAGACAAGGAACTTCCAGAGATTCAAGTTGGAGTCAGAAAAGGATGTGGAGCGATGGATATCATTGTTGATATCAGACAGATCTTGGAATACCAGAGAGATGTTTACCTGTGTTTTATTGACTGCAAAGGTTCTATTCATGCAAAGGTTCTTGACTGTTTGAGTCATAACAACCTGTAAATAACATTGTGAAGAATGTGAATTCCAGAACATTTAGCTGTACTCATGAGGAACCTGTACATATAACAAGATGTTGTCATTCAAACAGAACAAAGGGATGCTACATGGTTTTAAATGAGGAAGTGTGTACACTAGGGTTATATACTTTTACCATACTTACTCTGCCTGTATGCTGAACAGATAATCTGAGAAGCTGGACTATATGAAGAAGAACGCGGCATCGGGATTGGAGAAAGACTCATTAACAACCTGCAATATGCAGATGATATAACCTTGTTTGCTGAAAGTGACGATGACTTACTGATGAAGATCAGTGATTACAATCTCAGTATGGGTTACATATCAACATAAAAGAAAAATAAAAATCCTCACAACTGGATGAAATACCAACATCATGATATATGGATAAAAGATTGAAGTTGTCAGGGCTTTCATTTTGCTTAAATCCATAATCAACGCCCACAGAAGCAGCAGCCAAGAAATCAGACATCATACTGCACTCGGTAAATCTGTGGCACAAAACCTCTTTAAAGTGCTGAACAGCAAAGATGTCATTTTGAGGACTAAGGTCGCCTAACCTAAGCCAATGTGTTTTTATTGCCTCTTATGTACATGAAACCTGGACAACGAATAAGAAAAACTAAAGAAGAGTTGATGTCTTTGAATTTGGTGTTTGTGGAGAACACAGGAAATACGCACTGTCAGAAGAATGAAGTAATATGTCCTGGAAGAAGTGCAAGTAGAGTGCTCCTAGAAATGAGATTGGTCAGACTTCTTCTCAGCTACTTTGGTCATATTGTCAGATATGACCATTCCCTGGAGAAGGATATCATATTTAATAAAGAGGAGGCTCAGTGTAAAAGTGCAAGACACTTAACATGATGGCTTGATACAGTGGCTTCAACTATGGACTCAGGTATAGTAAGGATTGTGACGATAATGCATGAACGAGCAATTTTTTTTTTTCTGTTAGACATAGGACTGTTGTGCATAGGGTTGCAATGAGTCAGCGACGACTCGATGGCACCTAACAACAACAATAATATTCAAAGGCCAGCAAGAGAGAAATTAGCCAGCAAAGTAAATGCAGAGCATATGGTCAGAGAATGGGAAAGAAAACTAGGGATGTGTGTTGTCAATGTTGCCAATAAATAATTTGTTAAGAGTCACCACTAGCTACCAGTGGTAAATAAGAGTAAAGAAGACCAATGCATTAACAATTAGATTTAATCACATAGAGGTCATGAGCGACCTTGGGAGGAATACCATTTGGATGAGGAGTAGGAAGTCAGGCAAAAAGGGCTGAGAGTGAGCAGAATAGGAGGAAATGGTGACAGAGATTATAGACAAATTTAAGGATTTAACTATAAAAAGGAGAAATAGGAAACTAACTGCCAGTAAAATGGTAGTTAGGGAAAGATTATGAGGATGATGATGATGATGATGTTTTAAATGAATGAATGAAGAGACTTGGTCACATTTAAAGTGAATTAAAAAA